ATATGTTTAAAGCAAGTACTTTCCAAGTTCGAGTAAAGAACCTGGGACTCTGTTCGGCTAAGTAATTCACTGAAGGTCACACAACTTATAAATAATGAAGACACTGTAGCCAGTCACCTGACTGAAAATGCATGTTTCTATGCCTAATCTGATGCAGAGTTTCTTAGCAATCCTTAGACGCTCACTTCTACATAAACCACCTTTGCAAACCCAGCCTTGCTTCTTATTTAGAGTAGTCACTTGCAAATTATAGTTTAATAGAGAAGGTCCAGGTTGCTGATAGTTTGTCTGGATTGCATTTATAAAAGTCCTTAAGCTGAGGCTAGGCTGATGTCCTGCTACTTTGTAATATTGGAGGGTCAGGAGCGGCTAGGCACACGTAAATATAGATAAATTGCTGCCTAATAGTTCTAGGCAGAAATCATTCAAGAAAAAGATATCTGATCCTTGAAGGTAACTCAGCTTGCCTCTCAGCAATAGATTGTTAGGGTTCAGAATTTTAAAGTGTCCGTCCCTGTCCCTTTACCCTGCCTATCTCCCCGCTCCCTTCTTTGCACTTCCTACTGTATATCCCTTTCCCCCTTTTTCTAATGAATGACAAAATGTCCTTCATATTTACTTCCAAACCTAAAGCTGTGAGGGAATAAAACTTGCATTAAAAGATTTTGAAATGGATAGCAATATTACTACTTTAGCTAAAAAATAGATGTAGTGATTAAATAATATTAGCAATATGTGATGTGATCCTTGCCACGTGGGGGTGGGGGACGGAAATGGAATTACCTAAATATTCAGTAACACCATGAGAGAAATGAGTCTATAAGTGTGAGTCAGTGGTAACAGTTAACATAGTAAACTCCAGCATTACGCCATAGTCATGATCACACTAAGATTAATTCTGAAAAATGCCTATGTTAAACAAGTGATAAAGTATCAATAACAATGTATTAGATATATATTCAACACTCAATATATGTGTACTCTTTCCACTCATAAATGCTGTTGGACATTACTATTAGAATTTTGGTTGGATCTCAGGAATTTTTTTAATAAGAATTTAGACTTTTAGCATTTACAACATCTGCCTTGTGTTCATACCTTACTGGTTTTCAGCAACACAATGATGCATAAGGTAAAAAAATATTAATAACAGTCTAGGCAGGAGATGCTAACTGTAAGTCACATGTGATGATGCACTCTTGCAACATTAGAACATGCAAGTAGGAGGCAAGAAGGATGCCAAGAGGGTTAGGACATCTTAGTCTATACTGTTATTTCCAGACCACATGGCTGTAGAGTGAGATCCTGTTCCAGAATGAGAAGAGGAGTGGGGAGAAAGGGGGATTGTAATGGTCGTGGTCTAAGTTCTGCATTCAAGTTAGACATGGAAAAATAAATAAACACATTCCAGAAATTACCCTGTAATATATATGCATATGACACACACATATATGTACATATATACACTTATAATGAATGGATTTGTTAGGTTGTTGACACAGTAGGGGCTAGGTTTTACAGCAATAGTTAACTGCAAACAAGACAGACAAGAAACTCAATGTTTCAGAAGTCCCAGTGCAGCTCTAAAATCCTTGGAAGTCCTTGAAGAGTTGAGATGTTGAACCTACACTGAAATACTGAAGTTGTCATGTGAAGTCACCAGAAGAGTGCAGCCTGTAATTGACACACTGTCTCTCTCAGGAAAGAGGAAAAAGCAGCATGGATGCTGTCCTTTGGAAGGTGCAACTCAGTTATCTAGGGAGGAACACACACACACACACAACACACCTTCTCTCTCTCACACACACATATACACACACATATACACACACACACTAACACACTAGCTTACACACACATACTCACACACATACACATGTTACATCAGTCCTAAATGTCTCTTAATTCTACCAAGTAGACAACAAAGCATACTAGCACTGGTATAAGGGGCTAAAATACTTCAATAACACTTTGATTACTCTTGGACATCTTGAACAAGATCAAATAGCAGATACATTTGGAAACTCAAGAGTGAATTCAGATTATCCTTAGGCTGGGTTCTGAGCCATCCCTTTTTTTTGTTTCTTAGAAATAGTAGACAGAAAATGAGAAACCAAAAAACCAAATATTAGATGTAAGAGAGAACTCTAGGCTCACTTTTAGTACCTGATTGTTGAGTCTGGAGTGGAGCACGTATCTTTTTTTTTTTTTTTTTTTTAACACAGGCTTATGTAGTCATAATGACAGACTTTATCAAGAAGCCACAGTGTGAGAAACTACAATAAATGTCATGGCTTAAGAGCAGGCAAATGATTCCTAGGAATATTTCATTATACATGTGTCCACCTCTAGGCAGTCACACTAAATGAAGAAGAACTCAATGCTTAAATTACAGTGTTTTTTTTTACTTACCCTGGGTGTTTTCAGACTTGAATTGTTATGACGTTTTATTGCATGTATATGTTCTCTAGTGCAAAGAGGGATACATTTTATTTATCTATGCTTTTTAAAACACTCTTAAGTCCACACACATCATCAGTCACCAATAAATAGGTGATGAAAGAAAGTAATGTTTTATATCTCTTCTGGTGGATTTTTCAAAGAGACCAGAGGTAATAGACAAAGCCAGAAACCTGAATCCATCAGCATGAGTGCCAACAAGATAGCTACTATCCATTGGCTGTGTATACATGTTCAGATGATATGGTAAAATATCAAACATGTATCAGTGATACATGTTCAGATGATATGGTAAAATATCAAACGTGTATCAGTGATACATGTTCAGATGATATGGTAAAATATCAAACATGTATCAGTGATACATGTTCAGATGATATGGTAAAATATCAGACATGTATCAGTGATACATATTCAGATGATATGGTAAAATATCAAAACAAGAGCACTTTATAAAAAAAAGAATGAAACAGTGTAACAAAAAAAAACATTTTAATATTTGTTTTTACTTCTTAATTTCTGAAGGTTGCCTTTCATCGGATTGTATCTGTGCAAAGTCCCTATAAACAATAAACTTAAACGTAAGTTAAGAAAAGGAGGATATCAAGTTTGCAGTGAATAGGTGTTTGAAGGTAAGGCAGATGTCAAAAGGAGGCAGATGAATACCCTTTGTTGCTTGAAGGAAGGTTGCATTATTGGTTTTCCTATTCTGAAATTACTAACATAAAGCAAAATGATTTTACATAATCCAGTCCATGACCGACACAGTTCCGTTTTTATTTTTTCAAATAAAGTGTCTGTGTTTTCAGACCTCAGTGAGAGTGCCAGGAGACCTCATCAGGGGACTCAATTGAACAAACTTGTTTATCTTGTGGATAGAAAACTCATCTACCTTGAATAGGCAAGGGAGTCACACTCTCCATTGAGAGCATACCCACAATGATTTGTAGACACCCATGAGGTTCTACCTATAAAAAGATACCAGAAATTCACAATCCGCTACAGTAGGAGGCCAAACCTGAGACATGCAGGGATATGTCTGAGGTGATGATATGAGTGAAAGAATAGCTGAGAGAATACAAGTAGAAGACCTGTGGATTAAGTCTGGAATAATGGCCACGCAGGCCATAAGATGTGGTAGAATATGGCCTGGAGTAAGAGGGTATGAGATTTATTCTGTGTGCTTGTCAGAAGCTATTAAAACTTCACTGTAGCTGAAACAGTTTTGCTGTGTGAGAAAATGTCAGTTTTAAGGTCAGGTGGCTCAATATCCAAATCTCAACAGTCATCCTTCCTCATTTGTTTAATGATCCTCAGACTTTAAGCAACTTTTATCCTTGAATTTAATACTTTGTGTTAAAGATATCTTCCTTGCAACTAAAATGTTTTTCTTTCTAAAAATATGAGTAGGGGAGGTCAAAATATACCTAACGTAAGTAAAATAATCACACATATGCTAAAACCTACAAATGTAGATTATAGGCATTCATGATTCCTAATAATTCTTCAAATTGACTTTATAGAGTCACCTACACACACAGACACAAACACACATATACATATACACACAGATATCCTGGAAGGATATGTACACATACATATATGCACATAAATATTTGGATGTGATGTTTAATTATTTATTTTTATTTTAATCATATTTTATTATTCCTTTTAATTTTGGAGATTATAATATAATTACATCATTTCTCCCTTTTTTTCCTCCCCTTCAAACCCTCATGTATCCTATTCCCTGTTTTCTTCCAAATTTATGTCCTTTTTCACTAAGGATTGTTGCATAACTTCTGTATCTGTGTATGCAAATACATTCCTAAACACATAAATATAACTTGTTCGTTCCGTAAAATGTTACTTGCATGCATGTTTTCAGGGCTATTTAGTATTATATAACCAGGAGTTTTTCACAAAACTAAATTTTAGAAAAATTTTAGAAAGACTTGAAATATATTCACTTTTATAGTTTTAAATTTAAAATTAATCAGGAGGTGGTAAATATTGGAAAATCTGTGGCTATGATCTTTGCTTCATACTCAAACATGTAGACAATGAAGAAAAATTAGGAGAGGTGTCATGGTTACTTTAGATGTGCCTGCGTGTGCAGTTAGATGTTTTAGTCCCTCTGGCTACTGTTTTAGAAAAAAAAAATGTTCAAGATAATCTGTCCTAAAATGGTGCCTGATGGGAGTTTTGTGAGATTCACATACATGACAAGTGTTTCACACCACTTATGCTGTGAGTGCTTCTTAGAATGCTGCATTTATAAAGAATATGGTACAAGCATCCTTGTTGCAGAATATGGGTTAAGGGAAGACGCTTGCTTTATATTAGACACTGGAAGGCTGTCATCAGATACAGCTGTAAGAGAAGATGCTGTGGAGAAAAGCAGAGTAGTTTTTCACATAGAAGGGAGACACCTGATTTTGCTTGATGTCCTGAACTCTTTAGCCATAAGAGATCCCTGGGCCTTAGCTCATCGGGTTTGAGTCAGTAAGGAGAAAGGAGCATGAGGGTCAGAGCTAAGTATTTCAGTTTAAATCTCAGATTCCCCATTTAAGAGCTCTTCTGGTGAGCAAAAGCTTAACATTTCTGTGCTAAAGATGTAGCTTATGCTTGCATGAAATAGCTGGGCCAGTTTATAAGTATACACTGTTTCAAATGGAGCTGCCTAGAGTTTGTATGATAGTATCAGATTGGCTCCCTCTAGTTCTAGATGGGCTTACCCATCTATGCTTGCTATCTTGTTTCCTGGATCTGGGCAGATTATGTAAACTCTCTGCTTCAACAGTGTTTTATGCAAAGTGATAATGGTGGTATTAAATACACTGGTCCAAAAAAAGGTCATATGTTTTTGGTGACAGAGTGAGTGACAGAATGTTGGAATTTATGTTTTTATTTGGCAGCAATATTCTACTGCAATCTTATCTGTTAAAAAGAGCAACAGCAAACAAAAAGCCAAAAATATATAGATGATAGATAGATAGTTAGATGATAGATAGATAGATAGATAGATAGATAGATAGATAGATAGATAGATAGAACAAAAGCCTAAAACTACCACCACTGATAGTACCAAATCAAAACAATGGTATTTAATTCTGAAGTTATTTAGAGTTAATATCAAGGCCAAAAGCCAATATTTAAGGCCAATATTAGTTTCCTCACCTTCATAAATGTGTATTTTATGGATTTTGTTTTTGCTTTACTTTATTTCAATGAAGGGATATTAACCTTTCCCCAGAGCCTGGCAGAGAATCTGATTATTTTTTTCCTCCAGAGTAATTTCTAGTGTTATCATGATCCATTCAGCAAACAGTGTTTGGCCACTTCAGAAGCATTTTCCCACGTCCATGTAAATGGTATGATTAGAAGTGAAAGGTAATCTTGAGTGCTGCCATGTTATGACATTAAAACAAAATAGTAATTCAATTGTTAGCCGCCCCTCACAAATAACTATTCAATCCACTTGTGTTTAATACCTCAGCGTCCTTGCATGCCTTTCCCTTTTGAAACACAAAGCAGTATTGATTTCTCTTGATAACCAACTAAAAGTACTTTGAGCACTTTTATCATTTCATTATCTGGGAGCAAATAAGGAAAACAACGGGCAAAAAAATGAGAAACAAGTCGATGGGTTCTTTTTATCCTTTTCCACACACAGTTCAAGTGTAAAACAGAGTAACTTTTTAAATAAACTTGAATGCCTTTGTGTTTGAAGATGTCTGGGTCACCATCATGAAAGGTAACAAGTCAGAGGGAACAATTGTGGGTATAAATGGAGAGTCCCCTGCACATTTGTTTGGTAGGACTGCTGTAACAGAATACCTTAGACTGGAAAGCTCAAGCAGAATAATTTTTTTTGCTCATATTTCTGGATCCAAAGCAGAGATATCTACAAAATGGGATCCAGGTTGGATATTGCTGTCCTCTCCCCATGAGCCCAAATGCACTTCCCACTGGTTGTATGGTTCCTTGTGTCGCTTCTTCACATGGAGATACTAATCTGCTGAAATAGATTTCCTCCTCTAACAACATTCTGTAAACTTTATTAATTCCTAAATATCCATTCAGCCCATGAAAACACCTAGCATCTAGATGCCAAACACATGTATTTTAAGGTGTAGGATTGGAAAAAGATGATGCAGTCCTAACCCCTACTATTAAAGCCAGTTTTGACTGGCCATGGAAATATCAGAAAATAATTGCATTGACCATTCGAGTCTAATTTGTCAATCATAAAGGGAAAAACCGACTAGAACCATAGTTTAATACATTTTATGGATGGAAAACACAGGTCCTTATACTATCTGTATTTGATCTGACTTGAGTGAGGCATGTATTCCAGTGAATGATTCTGAAACCAGGCTCACAATTCTATTTTCTCTAAAAAGAAGGAATGAAAACACTAGCTATGAAGTGAATTCTAATTGGTTATTTTTCTCCAGAAACAAATGGGCCCCAACCAGTGCACCACCACAAAGGAATGGTCCTGTGGGCATCTATAACTCTGATTTGAAAGCCTTTTGGACTGTTCCATGAAGCCTCTGACATTGTTCTCACAGGAGCTGTGAGGACTTTATTTGTCCATTTTGACACAGATGAAAAAGATCCTGAGTTGACTGCTTCTCAAGCACCGAAGCTTGCCGAAAGCTGTTTCATCCGACCAAAACCTGATGTGCACCTGGCTGGTAAAGACCTCCATTTTCTGATGCTCATCAGCCTTTGCTCCAGTACACTTTCCAGATACTCCCACTAAGGACACTTCTCGCCCTTTTGGTGTCACTGATATCATACTTTGCCTTCCCAGCATTGAGGTAAGAGTTTAAAAATATGATGTTCATATGTACAGTGCTTGAAGCTAGTGTGGCAGCGATATGACTCATATCATGTCTATGACTAAGAGTTAGGACCAGGTGGTGATATGTCTGTATAAAAGAGGATGTAGCCATCCAGAAATATCTTTCCTGTCTAGTGAAAGAATAATGTAGTCCTAAATTTTCAAGCTCTCTCAACAAAACCCCCAGTAAGACAGCACCCTGGACCATTATTTCTAAACCACAGGAAATATTTTAAAACATTGTATTGGCTCTTGAAGAGTTTTGTACAGTGTGTTTTGATCATATTTTCCTCCCCCTAGCACCGCTCTTTCATGTTGTTTTTTGTGAATGATAAGCTTCACATACACACCAGTGAACTTACCAGTTTCATGACGGATGGTAGAAAGTATGAGAAACCAGGGTCTAAAACAAAACACCAGATTTACTTACAAAATAGCCGGCTGTGTATGTTTATATCGGTGTACCTCACCATATAAGTCCTATGTAGCCAGGTAGATTTTGCAGACACATCCAAGCTGAAAAATATAACCCATTCATGTGGTATAACTGGTGATAAATGAGTTCTAATTTCAGCATAGAGGAAGGCATTATTTTAATTGTTGTTCAGCATTCTGTTATGATATTCTACTAGATTTTTTGTTTATAAATTTCCATGAAACATTCATTTCCATGTAGACAGAGACTGTTCTTTCATTTCCTGGCTACCAAGACCTCAAATAACCACACAGAAACTATTTATTAGTTTATGCATATTTCTAGCTAGCTCTTACACTTTAAATTAATCCATGTCTACTAATCTGTGTATTGCCACATGGTTGTGACCTACTGGTAAGGTTCCATCTAAAGTCCAGCATTTGTTTCCTGTGGCGGCTACATGGCTTCTCTCTGACTCTGTCTACTCTCTCTTAGCCTTCAACTTCATTTTCCTGCCTAGCTCTGTTCTTCCCTGCTATAAAACCAAAGCAGCTTTATTAATTAACAAAACATATTCACAACCTACAGGGAAAAATCCCATATCATTCCCAGCTAAAAAAATAGTGTGAGACATGATAATTTATATTCTGATAGGAATATCACACATAATCATTCTTAACCCTCCTGCATTCACTCAAGGAATTCTCTAAGATCTGTGGCTTTCTTATTCATCCAGACAAAGTTCACCGAAACATTCCACTTTGTATTGTAGTTATTATTTTTCACTCAGACAACACAGCATCAGACTTTAGACAAATGGTATTTACATGTTTTCTAGATGGTTTTTATTTCTTGTTTCTAATCATTTATAATAGATACATTAGTATTTACTCACTGTGACCCAGAGAGTAAATTTAGTTTAGCAGTAACACTAATTTTGTTTGCTAATTTTTGAACTTATATGGACTCCTTGGCATATGCAAAACTCAGGGATTTTACATACATACATACATACATACATGCATGTATGTATGTATGTATGTATGTTCTTCGAAAAAGTTTCTCTGAATAGCTTTGGTGCCTATCTTGAAACTCCTCTTCTTGACTAGACTAGCCTTAAACTTAAGGAGATCCACCTGCCTCTGTCTCCCAAGTACTGGTATTAAAGGCCTGTACCACCACCACCTGGCTATTTCTCTTTAGATAGTAAAAAGTGTTAGGTGTTTTACCATATGTGTTTGATCCCAGGACTGGGGGGCAGAGGCAGACTGATCTTTATGAGTTCTAGGCAAGCCTGGTTCTAGACCAGAGTTAGTTCAAGGCAACCAGAATCTCTTTTCTTGAAAAAAAAAAAACAAATAGAGAATAAACAGTGTCATAATATATATACCCTTAATAAGTATGACCTTGTTTTTTTCTTATTAACCAAATCAAAGTGAATAATATAACTGGAAGAATATCAAGTCTCTCAAAGACGTCTGGGTTCTAATCCCCGCAACCTTAAATATGCCGTGTTATGTTATACTTTGTTAAACTGTGCTATTCTATATTATGTGACAAAATGTGATGTTATGCTATGCTATATGGTAAAGAGATGTACAGTGAGAATTAATGCTGCAGTTCAATTGAAGTTCAAATAAATATAATATTCTGAATCATCCAATAAATAAATAAATAAATAAATGACAAATTTTCTGGGCCTGGGATAAGTACTTACTCATAAAAGGATATTAACTGTAAAATAAGGGATAACCATGCTACAGTCCACAGACCCAGAGAGGCTAGGTGAAAAGGGGAGCTCAAGCAGGGATACATGGATCTCCCTGAGAAGGAGAAATAAAAGAGACCTTCTGGGTGGACTGGGGTGGGGGGGGCAATGAGAATTTGGATTGGGCTTGGGGTGAGGGAGGGGAGAGTGCTAAGAGATGACTGTAAAGGAGGGACTTTTGAGGTCAGATAGAAGCCTGATACAAGGCAAACTCCCAGGCGTCTATAAGAATGGCCCCAACTAAGATTTCTGGCAATAGTGGATGCATAGCCTGAAATGGTCATCCCCTGTGATCTGTTTGGTAACTACCCCGGAATTTTCATCAGAGAGTCTTCATCCAGTGACTGAGGAGATAGATTCAGAGACTCATAGTCAAACATTTGGACAAGCTCCTGGAAGCCTGCTGAGAAAAGGGAGGAAGGATTGTAAGAGCCAGGGGGTGGGTGTCAGGGTCATTACTGGAAAACCCACAGAAAAAGCTAGCCTGGCTCATGGGAACTCAGGGTCTGAAAACACAACCAAGGTTTCTGTATGGGATCTACCTGGGCCCTCTCTCTCTGACAGCTGTGTAGTTTGGTTGATTTGTGGGACTGCAGACAATGGGAGCAGGGCTGACTCGGGTGCTTTGGTGGGCTCTTGGGGACACATTGCTCTTGCTGAATTGCCTTACCCAGCCTGAATAAAGGGTAAGGTGTTTGGTCTTAAGGCATCTGGGTATGCAATGCTTTCCTGATGCCTATCGGAGGCCTGCTCCTTTCTGACATGATAAAAAGGGGCGGTAGATTGAGTGTGGTGCTTAAGGAAGGTGGTGAGTAGGAGTAGGAAGAAAGGAGGGGAGCAGAGGAGGAAAGGGTCATAAAATAAATAAATTAATTTAATAAAAATAGTAACAACAAAAAGTCACATTTTACTTATTGTATAAATTAAATGCAGAAGATTAATTATCCCTGAAACTTCTCTGTAATACAATTAAGTTGCTGCTTGGATTTGTTATTACTATTATTATTATTATTATTATTATTATTGAAAATATTTC